ACACAGGGGTGCCCTGATATGGTTTTCTCAATACCAAAGATCTAGAGCTGTCGTCCTTATCTCTGCTCCTTCTGTTCTTTGTATGTAACTCTTTAGTAACACCTCTAATGTTCGGCACTTCAATATTAATTTGACCTATTTGTGTTGCAAGTGGTGTAAAACTCTTTCTAAAACTAATACTAAAACTCAGTTGCAAGGAAGGACCAATGAGGTCAAGTTTTCTTTCTCTTTTCTTTTCTTTTTTTTTCGGACAATACAGGAATTGGTGTCTCTGGGAGGTGACCTATCCACGTTTCACATAATTGGCTTTAGTCTGGGAGCGCATGTCGCGGGCTATGCAGGCGAGAGGCTGCCTGGTTTGGGAAGAATAACAGGTGAGTTCTTTTGATGGTTACACTCCACAAAATTTTGGCTAAACTTTTGTTTGTTTGGTCGGTTGCTTGTTTGTTGGTGTGGGGTTTTGTTGTTGTTGTTGTTTTGTTTGTTTGTTTGTTTGTCTTTTTGTTTGTTTGTTGATGCTGTTGTTGTTCTTGTTGCTTTTCGTAATGCGTACCACAATTTTACTTGGAGAAAACTCAGGTACGGGTGGCCTCAAGCTCATATGAGCTTTTTAGATAAAAGCAGTGTAGATTAAAATTGATATCCAGTTCGTTTGTCATTTCATATCAATCTTTTAGATTTAGCCGAAGTAGCCAAATCAATTTATGTAATAAAAAAAAAACGTTCAAAATTAGGCCGTTTACGTACAGGTAACAAATTAAAAGAATATTGTATAAGAAAAAGTAACCCTGTACAATTTTTGTGAAAGTTCGTCAGTTTGGTCGTCAATATCTTCCAAACAACTTAACTTTCGAATTTGAAAAAAAAATATATCGATGTGTCAGAATCATTTTAATGGTGCAGTTATATTACGAAGTCTGAAGTCACTGTAGTAAAATTTTCAGTTTTTCATTAGTTTCGTTTAGATCTAATCTTTGGAAAGTCCATCTTCAAAGACACCATTGTATTCAAGAGAGGTTTCCTTTCACAAACAGTGCGCACTGGTCCCGCAATGACTTGACGATCAATTCTTTTCAGTTCGTTCTTCGGATGGGGTACCCAGCTAGTCGTCTATATTGTCAGTATTTTACGTTTTCACAGCACTAAATATCCATCAGTATGTCTATGTTCTTGTGGTTGGAGGTCGTCACCGGTAAGTCCGACTTCCTTACTTTCCGTCTGATGTTTTACTCTATCTCTCTTTTTGTATCTTACGTTTTCCCAGCACTAAATGACCACTAGCGTGTCTATGTTCTTCTTTTTACTCAAACAAAAAGAAAAAAAAACAAGATCCATATAGTGTAGTTATATATTCATTCAGATATAATGTCCATTAACTCTTTGAGTTTTTTTAGTGGTATACCTACTATATTGGACATACTCTCAGGAAGTCAGGCAGCTGCATAACAAAGAAAGTTTTGGATTGGAACCCACAGAGTAAGAGATCAAGGGGAAGACC